TTATATGGGAGGGCATCTGTGTTTAATCATGGATAGAGTGAAAAACCGCTCCAAATCAAACAGACCGGTCCATTCCGTGCCAAAAAAGGCCACAACGACAAGTACAGAAGGGCAGACAGAGGTGAGCCGGGTCTGCTGCCCCCCCGCAGACTCATACCTGCTGTCATACGCCGAACTGAAGACAACTGCTACTGTCGCACATGAAAACAAGCCGCTTATCGCAAGAAACAGCTACAAGGCCTGGTGTGCTCGCTGTACGGGAATCTACACGCGCACTGGGGCAGCCGTGACCCCACGACCCCCACCGGCCAGGGACGCCTGATTATTGACATTCATTCTGTGACATATAAACAGAAACCAGGTGCCACCGTAACCAAGACAAAGGCAGCCCTTTGTGTGGTGAGAAAGTAATTACCTAATTATACCTCCTTGGCAAGGAATGAAGAACATTTTTGGCCAAAACTCCTCGTCCCCCATTTAGCAAAAACTTATTTCATGATATTCCAAGTAAAGAAATGGTTTAAATTTGGTCCATGTGGCTCGGAAACTGAACCACCACAATACTTATGCCTTAGGCCTGCAACATATCAATTGCCCAATGTCAGGAACAAGCTTCCTCTGCTCTCATCAGGGTCCTCCTCTATCAAGTGAGCTCGAGTCAGGGGCTGCACAGCCAGGAAGGTCCAGGGCTGGTCAAACAACTCAGGTGACTCATTAGGAGAGAGTTTTATTATATATATACGTGTATGCATATGTGTGTGTGTGAGCGGGTCTACCTATCCTTATGGGGACATAAAGTCCCCATAACCTGATATCTGTTTTTTTTCCCTTATGGGGACCGGTTTCCTGATCCCCATAAGGGAAAACTCTATTTTATAAAAATCGGTGACTGCTATGAAAAAACTAAAAATGCAAAAACTCTTGTATTTTGTTTGGTTACTTATGGTTATGGTTAGGGTAGGGTAGGGGTTAAGGTTGTCATAGTTAGCGTTAGCATTTTTCCCATTGAAATGAATGAGTGGTCCCCATAAGGATATGTATACCCTACATGTGCATGCGCGCGTGTGTGCGCGCGCGGGCGCGTATATATATATATATTATTTTATGTATTTCAAAAGTGGAAGAAGTGTTTATTTTATGTTTGACTGCTGTGTCATATATGGAAATATGTATGTATGCACGCATTTAGTAAGCTTATTTATTATGTATTGAAGCTGCTTCTAAATTTCGTCGTGCTTGTGTAACCCTTGTCATGGTGGAGGTGGTGCGTGTGACGGTGCATCCGTGTCCGTTTTCTGTGACTGTCCTGCTAATGCTTTTTTTCCCCACGATGTTTCTTCTGTGCTGGCTTACGATCGAGTTCTCCTGAAGCTAAAATCGACTCTGCAGAAAGACGTCTAATAAGGCAGAGTAACCCATTTGTGTCACGACAGATAAAAGTCCTTGGTCTTTATGCTGGACCCTATTCCACCTCCCTGAGCCACACCATCCAGCCTGAGCACACGTCCCCAACTCTTACAACTCTGGTCATCTGTGGAGACCTGCAGTCGTTTCCCCGAAGGCGAGGGAGCGTGCTGGTCTGGCTGGGGAATGGGATCTCTCTGCAGCATCCACCTGAACCTCGAATGGTGTCTGGTGGTTAGCCGGCAGGATCCTTCACACACGCCGTAAAACACTCCGCAGACGGCGATGGAAAAGCCTTTAAACCATCAAGACGCCTAAAAATACCTGCCTTCGCTTTAGCATTTGGCACCAGTGACAATGAAGTCATTACAAGGCAAAAGCATATGTCAGAGATTTCTACATGCTATTAGGGAGGCCGTCCAAGGAAATAATTATCGCTATAGTATAGGAGGAGATATAATGCTGTGTCACTTCCTACTGAGGAGATATTTATTTCAATAGGAAAAAACCTCCAGGGTTGGAGGTTCGAATCTTGCCTCAGCTGTGTGCAAGGCAGACATGCACACTCTGACCAGCGGCCCCGGTCCATGGATAGGAAACTTGTAAAGCGAACAGCACCTCGCCATAGACAGCGGCCCCGTGGCCCATGGAGGCTGTGAAGCGATGGAAGGTTAGTACATGGTGCATGCTCTCCACATATTATGTGGGTTTATTGGGGTCCAAAGACATATATTGAGCCTATTAGTGTCATTTAATTGCCCATAGCGTATGATTGTGTGTATGCACCCTGAGATGAACTGGTGTCCTGTTCAAGGTGTTTCCATACCTACAGTCTCTCCTATGACCTTGACCATGATAACCAGTTACAGCAATGTGTCCCAGTCTGGCCCTTGGGGACCCACTCTCTGGGAACATGGATCAACTGTGTCCCCGAAGCACTGGGTTGGAAAACACTGTCTTAGAAGATGGATGAATGGAAATCATTGACTTGTATCTGACCAAGTATACTGACCCAGTACACTCTCTGGAACAAAGTGAACAAAATGTTCTTTTCTAAGACCTCACCTAACATCTGGAGTTCAGGGTGTTAAAACCACGGGATGTTTGTGTCCGTTTTAGGGACATCTTCTCAATGGAAACCTTTCTGGCATTCCCCTACAATGCCTGAGAAACTCTCACTGGCTTCTTCCACCTGCGCCTCATAGCAGACCAATTCATAGCTCCCACAGTGGTTGAGTCTGCGCAGAATCTTCAAGAAATAATTTCAGGAAGTTGACGATATTTCTTCATAAGTCAGCGATTGCCATGAGCTGGTCTAGACCCAACACAAGCACAGGTAGACCTACCGGGGGCTGCTAAATATTCCATGGATTCTGTGCTGTATAGATGTTATCTGTGTGCCTTCTGCGTGACGGGGAGCTACCTCAGCATCAGTGGGACTCTGCACAAGCTGCTTTTTGCAGAGTTCTCATGATGAACAAAGAACATTATATGAGTAGTAAATCCAGAAATAGACTCTGGGCCCATACAAACACTTGCAATAATTACAAGGTTAGAGTTTTGCTTAACTAAATCCAGGGCTGTACTAGACTACAGAAGAATTGACTGTATAAACGACCATCCCTGGTTACTGATTTGATTTGCTATTGTATGAGTATGTAGCACTGAAGTAGAATCGATGTTATCATCAAAGGCAACTGTTGTGTGAACTAATGAAGTTCGGGGCTCTGGGACGCCATATTGCCCTTTCTTCCCCAGTTATGAACGACCAGATCAGCTATTAGCACCTTCCATGCCTCGTCTGCAAGCGATGAAGGAATTTCATGCAGGCAGGTTCATTTCTGCAAGCCTGGCACCCAGACTTAAGGTTCACCCTATCATTTATATTTACATTTGTATAGCAGATGCTTTATCCAAGGCGATATACAATTGACAAAGTTCAGCCAGTCCCAGGAGGTATTGGGGTTAAGGGCCTGGTTCAGGGGCCCAACAGAGAAATCACTCTGCCAGCCACAGGATATGAACCAGCGACCTATTGATCACAGAGTGCAAACCTGGAGAGCCAGACACTGCCCAAGCTAACACCCAGCCAAGCTCTGAAACAGATGCATGATGGGAAGGCTGTCTGTGGGGATTTTACTGCTGTCTTCCCTATAGATGCACTACCATACACACACACACACACACACACACACACACACACACACACCGCAGGCGGCCTCTCCTGCCGTCAGACGGGGCTCCTCATGTCTGCTGCTGAGGGTGAACACAGGGTCACTCTTTGTACACACTTGGTACCCCTGAGTCAGTAGCTGGTGAAAGGGATAGATCTCAGATTCTTTTCTGAAGTCAAATATAAAGTGGATGATCTACACACACCCCCACAGACATACACACAAAACAACATAGTTTAGTGAACTCCCAGGATATTTTCAACAAATACTCACTTAATTTAACGTAAATAAAGGAGCTGAACACTGATTTACGTGTACACTAAAAAAAAATCACAGAGGCTTACCCAGCTTTATAAATTTTAACTCTAAACGTAGCCTGTCCCTTTGTGAAACCAGTTGTATTTTTGGTTAATTACAGAGGAAACGGCTGTTATTAAGCTGCTCCTTAGAGCCCCTCAAAGATTCTGGTTCTGTTTATACTGCCGGAGGCGCCTTTCTGACCTACGGGGCACCGACTTCACCCTGCAGAGGAAGCCCACTAATGAATGAGAACCAGTCATATTAAATACCGGACCAAGCCAGACTGGCTGCATACATTTTATAGTCTTTAGTGCAAGATGCAGGGAATTTTCCTTGGAGCCCCGATCTTGTGGATACACCTGCGGGGACCTAAATCCGCCAATCAATCCACAAAGTAATTGTGACCTTAACTTAGGAAACTCCATTTTAATACGAACGGCTCTTCTACCACTAACGATCATTCATCAAACGCTGCACGTTTGAACGCTCATTGCACATTCTGAATATACGCAACGCGGGCAAATAAGTCAAGTCGAAATACATCAACAACCATAAAATACAGGCATAAAATCAGTATTGCCATCGGCCATATCTGCGTTTTAAAGTCAATGACAGTCGGAGTAAATGCGTACGTTACCTTCTTGGTGGGTTTCTGCGTGTCCGCAAAAGTTAGAAAGAAACAAATTACAGCAGTTACTTCTCGGCGATCCAGTTCAATGCAGACGGCCGGCTGCTAAGTCAGACACTCCTGAACGCGAAATCTCAAGGAGACAACAGCTCCTGGAGTGTCACTGTCCACTTTTCGCGGATCATCCCCCCTGATCTGCCTTTTACCGTGAATCCAGCGACTCTCCCTGATCTCAATCTCGGCGTGGGTTTATAAACGTCGTTCCGCCGCTGTCAGCGCGTCTCTTTCTCATCGTGCCTCCCGGTCCACGTTTTAAGTTGTCCTCCCTCCTCCTTTAATGGTTTTCAAAACCAACAAGCGCACAAATGACGTGTTTTCTCTTTGCACGGCGTAGACTACGCACAACTGTCTCCACTACCCTGAATGTAAGACGCCGCTCACATGTCAACGCGGCGGGGAGAGTTTTTAGAAGTGCCCGGTATAGGCGCACGTACCCGGCTCCCGGTTCCAGGCAGAGATCCACGCGTGGCGCCGTCACTCCTCACCGACTGCGTCCCGCTGACAGCCCCCCGGGGTGGATATGAGGAGCGTACTGGAGCTGGTGCCGGAGTCTCTGACAGCCAAATCGGGGCGGGAATTTCTACAGTGATATTTTAGCACATGATCACAGCGGCACGGGCGCGCCGCGACAGCAGCTCTGCTCTGCAAGATAGCCTGCAGGTACAAAAACCTGACTTTTTTTGTACATGGAAAATGCATTGAATAAAAATGACGCTTATGTACATTTAATAATCAGGCAACGTCTAGATTGAAACAAACACCCCCGGTGACACGCCTCCTCATTCCACTAGCCACAGTAGCCCTTAAAACTTTTAAACTGCACACGTGGGAGAAACTCCAATTCCATGAAGTCTCCGTTTTTATTACGTCATTATTATTATTATAATTATTATTATTTGCTGGTTAGACTATATAATTGTTCTACATCATCTGTACACATTCATCCTTCCATCTTGGTGTACGTGCTGGAGTTTGAGAACGAAGGAAAAAATAACGCGGCGGTAGGGCAAACCTACCCTTTGGGAGTGAATTTCACAGAGTTCCTATTGGCATGGTGAATCATAGCTGGACGTGATCCAGAGAAATCGGTCTGTCGTGCCACACCCCATGGCAACGGATAACATTTTTCTCGTTTTGTGCTATTATACAAGGGATTCAGTGTTGGATTCGCACCGTGCAATTTTCTTGCGTCGGTATCTCTGTGCGAACGCAGAATTGTTGCGAATCGGATCCAGCGGGACTGGGCGCGCGCGGTGCGGCGTGTTATCTTAATGAGATAATCACTGTTTAGCCACATCGGAGTCGTCCCGCGAGTCTGCACAAGACTTTGGATTTGCCACCAGGCTCTTGCAGATGAGGCGCTTTACAGTTCTGCTAGTACCCATCCATCCAAAATAATCCATTCTATTGCCACGTGCAATCGTATATATTAATATGTGAAATCCGCGTTGGAATGATTGGAAACACTGTATTCCCATTCTAAACTGCGCATAAACCCCTCTGCTTGTCGGAGGAGCGCTCAGAAGTGAATGGGCACTTTATTTTGGTAATGCAGTTAACGATTGCAGTGGGTGGTCATTTTACATTCGCGGTTAAACAGGCGTTTAATTATTTCTCACGGCACTAAAATTTTGCGTTAAATACTGAGCAAACTATTTCATTACGTCACTTAACATTTTGTTTATAAAACATTTGTGTGTAGTATAATGTGTCTGTTCGTCCTGACTAAGCACTTCCTTGGTGTACTCTGCTGTCCTCCTTTAATCTTTCCGACTTTGTCAGATTAAATAGCCACTTTAAAAAGTGCTGCTTTTATTGTTTTGTTTCTATAATGAACTGCAAATGGAACCTAGGAACAAAATTAATTCATTCATAATGTACTAAAAGCCCTGGGTGTTAGCTACAACAATAGCCAAATAACGAGTTTACGAGCCTAATTTCTAGTGGAAACGACCTGGCAGAGTCAGGGAACAGAATGTTTCGTGATATAATCCTTGTTTACATCCTTAAGTTTTTTAAGTTTAAGTTTAATCAAAAATAAATGCTTTTTTTACATTATTTTTCAGAAGAAAATAGGCATTGTGTCTCGTATATTTGAGTTCAGCAATACAGTGTAGATGCAAGGTCTACAAATGCTATGAATCATATTTTTGTAGGACTGACTCGAACACAAAATTACCGAGAAAAAAACAGTGACGTGCTATGTAAAATATTTCATACTGACTAACTAAAGCAGCAAAACACTAAGTTTATGTCTTACACGGGGTATAGTCCCCGCGGAGTTCGCGGTAAAGTTCCCCGCCTTACGTGTTTCCACCGTGACTGGGCACGATGAGGGATTAAGATGGTGTGAATCCAAGTTTTTTTTTTCCGAAGAAGCATGAAATTTACAGAAAGTCTTATAGGTTGATTGCGAGCCAAGGGGTTAGATCATATTAGGCAGATTTAGAGACACACAAATCAGCGCTGTGAAATAACTGGTTAATGTGTGTAACGATGCCAGTTCCCCGCCGCATGCCGGTATTTGATCATGAGGCGTGTCCACTGCGGTTATCACGCAAGGGAATTAGACTGTATTTTAGCATGGAGACTTACGGGGGGGTGGAGGGATGGAGGATAATCCCCCACAATTAATTTTATCGGCCCACGGGAAAATGCCCAATCAACCAAAAGGCCAGTCCAGCTTGCTGGTGGCTATAGGACAATTGAAGAGGCAAGAAGATAATGGATTTTAGATTATTACAATGGTGAATTTTTCCAAAGAAGAAAGAAAATGTGTTTTTACATGACAATAAAATTTTTATTATGAGTTATTTTAAAGTTAGTGTTTCATAATTTACTACCTCCTCTACCTCTATGGACCATCCATCTCTGCTATAAGTTCACTATTAGCCTAATTCAGCCAGTACTGCTTAAGTAATAGACTGTTTGAGGGGTGACTGAAAAATGTGCCTGGTGCTCAGTGACAGGCTGGGGGGCGGGGTCTGCAGATTGGCCCCGCCCTGCACCCAGACCGTCTTCCAGTCCCTGAAGGGAATGCTGCTATTGTAACGACGTCAGAGGTCACATGGCGTGTCACGTGACTTTGACACGAGTACGTTTTAAACTGTCGGCCGTCCAGGCTTGCTGCACACACTGCAGCTGAACAGCTAATTACACGCGGGAGACCAGAGCTGCGGTTTCTGAGAAACATCCCTTAGTGACAGCTATGTTTACAGAAATAGTGAGACTGTCCAGTCAGTCTTTTATCAGTCTGTAGCAGTGAACAGGGGGACAGGAGGCTTTTGGCATGGCAGATGTTACACCATGCACTGCCCAGTACGCTTTCCAGCATTCTTCACTTTGTTGTGCACCCAGAATTAATCCAGAGGAATTAATTTCTCCCTGTGACAGCGAGAGGCCTGCCCAGCACTCCAAGGCCTACTGCACAGTGCTTTAGTCAGCAAGACATTTACGACAACATGTACAACAGTGAGAGACAGAACTGCTTGCAGCATAAGTTTTTCACATAATAGAAACATGATAGCGACATACTATGTTGAATCTGAGGGTGTGAATGTGTCTTTGTTTGCCAAAGTTGAATCTAGCTTTCTTACATCAGTCTTGGGGAGTTTATCCTGGGCAGGTTCACAGAGGGGCCCAGAACTGATCTTAAACAGCGCAGGGCATTAGGCAGGGGTGCAGCCTACAAAGCGTGCCAGTCCACATACACAATGGGGAATTTGGAGACACAAATCATGTCTTTGAATTGTGGGTGGAAGACCAGGCCACCTTGGGAGAACATGCAAACTGCAGACACACACACAAGCACACGCAAACAAAACCGAGACTGGATTTACACATCTAGTCCTGGAGGTAGTTACCCCCTAAGCCAAAGTGCCATCCTTCTACATCTCTTGCTCAGATAAATTATATATATTTATAAGCACAGAACCAAACAAAAACGTATATTAACTTTCAGGATGAGCCATGAGAAACCAGATGACATTGTCTATGCCAACTATGGTGCAAAGAATCACTGCACACACCCCTTTAAGTGACACATGTCTACGTGCACATCCCTTTATATCGTCACCAGAGAACCACCAGGATGTGCAACAACAAATGAATAGTAAAGAGAGAGCAAAGAGAGGGAGCAAATGTAGTCAGCTGTTGTCGACTGTGACTGCGGTCACTTCCTCTGAGGTGATTCAGCGATCAGCCAAAGTACCGATAATTTTATTACACACGATTATTAGCAGCTTAGCGTTACTCATACTGGCCAAACCTGAGCTTCCCCTTGGGTACTCTAGTGTTTCCCCAACACATCTGCAAATATAAAGATAGAATTGGTGCATTCACATTCCAGGGGCAAAATATAATTGCACTCTCAGTCTCTGGCTAAGTCTGTTGAAGCGATGACAGATTGCTCACTCCACAGAGATGCAAAAAGGCATCTCGCTGGAAAACAGAGGAAGACGAATTGGCGAGGCGGTACAGGAAATCTCATCAGCTCCATACTGCAAATCCCGGCATCTTTGGCCAAGCAGACACCTTAAGTTTCTGAGTTTCGAGGTGAAGAGAGAGGCTGAGTATTTGGCTCTGACATCTCATCCTGTCCAGGTTGTCCCCAGGCTTTTTGTGACCCTGCACTACAGTGTTTCCCAACCTGGTCCTTGGGGACCCACAGGCGGTCCACTAGGGCAGAGAGCAAAGACGTGGACTGTCTGGAAGGAAGCTGGGAGAGAGCGAAGACGTGGACTGTCTGGAAGGAAGCTGGGAGAGAGCAAAGACGTGGACTGTCTGGCAGGAAGCTGGCAGGAAGCTGGGAGAGAGCAAAGATGTGGACTGTCTGGCAGGAAGCTGGCAGGAAGCTGGGAGAGAGCAAAGACGTGGACTGTCTGGCAGGAAGCTGGCAGGAAGCTGGGAGAGAGCAAAGACGTGGACTGTCTGGAAGAAAGCTGGGAGAGAGCGAAGACGTGGACTGTCTGGCAGGAAGCTGGCAGGAAGCTGGCAGGAAGCTGGGAGAGAGCAAAGACGTGGACTGTCTGGCAGGAAGCTGTGAGAGAGCAAAGACGTGGACTGTCTGGCAGGAAGCTGGGAGAGAGCGAAGACGTGGACTGTCTGGAAGGAACCTGGGAGAGAGCGAAGACGTGGACTGTCTGGCAGGAAGCTGGGAGGAAGCTGGGAGAGAGCAAAGACGTGAACTGTCTGGCAGGAAGCTGGGAGAGAGCAAAGACATGGACTGTCTGGAAGGAAGCTGGGAGAGAGCGAAGACGTGGACTGTCTGGCAGGAAGCTGGGATAGAGCAAAGACATGGACTGTCTGCAGGTGGACTGTCGGCTGATGCCACGTGCAGCAGAAGGGGTGGGTGGGGGAGGGTTGCCAAACAGAGACCTGCAAAGGTGAGCGAATTTCATGGCTATTTTGAGCCTCAGGTGCCTCTTACTTGGGCTAAGTTGGTCCCCTTCATGACTTCAGTAGCACTGACCTGCCCCCAGTCCTAGTGGGGTGGGGCATCTTAAGAAGATCAGTTCCCAGTAGTGGAAAACTCCTAATTCCACCCTAGGCTCCAACCCTGCCCCCCACCCCCTCGCCCCGTTCCTGCTTCCCCATCACGACGCCATGAGAGTTTCAGGCCAGTGCTGGTGGTTTGGACGTCTGAGCCGTCAATGAAATCAGCTAAAAATATCCCACAACAACCCCAGTAGGAGGAGAGGGTGACCAAAGCCTAGGAGCAAAAACCCATCTTCTGACACCACAAGGGTCAGGGCCCTGCAATCGGGATTATGACG